TGTTCTCACAGTGCCACAACATCAAGTTATAGAATGTTTTTCTTCATGATTCTTGTTTAAATATTATTTTATAGCATAGATTAACTTTAGTTTTTGACTCTGCATATGTTTTATTTAAAAAAAATGAAACTGTAAGAATATTTAATTTTAGTTTTTGACTCTGCATGTTTTGTTATTTTAAAATGAAACTATCTGTAAAAATATTCAACTTTAGTTTTTGACTGTGCATATGTTTTGTTATTTTAAAATGAAACTATCTGTAAGAATATTCTACTTTAGTTTTTGACTCTGCATATGTTTATTTTAAAAATACAATCTGTAAGAATACTCTGAGAAAAAAATCTACGTTCAATAAAACTCCTTTATTCATTTAAAACAAGAAAAACATGCTCGCTTGTGCTTATTTTCAAGAAACATGAAACCCAACGAGGGGATAACGATACGATACGCTTCTTTTTTTTCTTATTATTGAAAGAGTAGTCATCATCTTGATCCCCGGGGGTGACTGTCCGGAACGTTTCTTTCTCAGCGCACTCCACACGGTCAGACTTCTGGGTGACGCAAACTCAACATCTGGGTCTCCGCCATCTTTGTAGTTCTGCATCTGCCCACGAGCGAGTTTATTTGCCACCATGGACAGGGGTAGATTTACAGGTATGCAGAAAACAGTCCCACCCCACAGGCTTGTGAGGCTTGTGAGGCGTGTGACGCGTGACGTTCAGGTGTTGGATCAGATCGACCATATGTGAACCGCGCACCGCTTCCCCTTTGTAAATAAACTCCCCCATGTCGCTCCATCTTGCGGGCGCTCCAGACGCTGACATTTTCTGTAGAATGTACTTGGCTTTTTTTTGAAAACGTGGGTTAACATTCGTCAGCACATCTTGAGTTATTTTATCGTAGGAGGGTCTCTCATCGCCCTCTGCGGCCGGTGCTGGTGGTGCTACGGGCGCTGGCTCAGTCTCTTTAGGTAGAGCCAGGGTGATTTCACGAGTCTCAGCCCTCTTCTGCTTTTCCAGGTTAAGGTAGCGCTGTAAAAGCAGGGTGTATCTTTTAATCTTTTCATCAGGTGTAAGATTCTTTTGTTCTAAAACGTTTCTCATTTGCTCGTCCAAATCACTCTCAGCCCTCTCTCGGATGCCCCTCCCGTGATCTTCGAGGCGACTCAGTTGTTCCCGCGAGATCAAATACATTTTTTTGAAGGCCATGTCACTTCTATTTTTATCAGCCTCTGTTCACCAGAGCACCTATGACCTGACCAATTACGGGGATTGCGGCTG